TTTGAGCCTTTGTGCTGTGACACTCATGGAGAATGTGGGTTAACGGGTTGCATACGAGCGGTGCAGTTTTTTTTTTTTTTTATTAGGTTTTCGTGTGTCAGCTTAGCATGTCCAGTTCTTAGTTAATATTGTTCCTTCTTTTCTGTTGCTATTGTTTGTCACTTGTTGGACACCGTTTATGTAGATGCATGCTTTTAGTTGTATGAATGTGTCGCGAAAAATGCGACGTGTGGCGTTTTTCATTTTGAAAAGAAGAGAAAGTCGAGCGACGTGGAATCGGAGTCACGATTCGAGTCGTGAGAAAACGTCGAGAGAGTTATTTATTAAAAAGAGTGTTAAAAAAGAGTTTATTTGAGTTGTTCTTTGTCTAATTATCTATTGTTTTGTCCCCAGCATTTATTAAATAAATATCATTTGTATTTTGTCTCTACATGTCTCTCTATCTCTATGTCTCTCTCTCTCTCTCTCTCACGCGTGCGCGTGCGCTAGCGAAAACCACCCCTCCGATCGGTGGCCACGAATCAAAAGTGCGAAACCACGCGGAGTTACGAGGTGCCAGGAAAATTTATAGACCATCAGGGAGCCGCGACACCTGTTCCCGCGACTCGCGTTACTATCTGAAATATTTCCCTTGTTTATGGACCGACTGCAAACAGTCACCTTTCACCTCTCTATCCTCCCCCTCGCGTGGATCGCGGCCATCAACCGAAGTGAAAGAGAAATTTCTTGTTCAACGCGACGAGGATTGCGTCGCGATTGAAACGATCCCGATGAATTTTACAGTGCGCCAAGCGGGCCCCGTGGAATTCTTAGCAAGAGCAGAAGAACGAGCGGAAGAAACACTTGAAGATTTATTTAACGTAATAATAAATTACAATAAATATTATTTATGAAGAAATTTTTATGATACATGATACATGATACATGATATGTGATACGTGATACATCATACATGATACGTGATACCTGACACGTGATACATGATATATGATACTTAATGCATGATACATGATACGTGATATATTATAACTGATACACGATACCTGGTACCTGGTACCTGATACGTGATACATGATACATGATATATGATACTTAATATATGATACCTGATACCTGATACGTGATACGTGATGCATGATACCTGATACGTAATACCTGGTACCTGATACATGATACATGATACATGATACGTGATGCATGATACCTGATACGTAATACCTGATACATGATACGTGATACGTGATACATGATATATTAGGGGGAGAGATATGAAAGCGACAAGTTATTCGTATTAGGCTTTTACGGAAATTGGAGCAAATAGAAGAAACTAATGTGATCAAAATTAATGTCAAAATCGTGTTGATTTTCTAAAAAAATTCTATTTGAGCTAATGTGTTAAAATTAAAAAAAGAATATCTGTTATGAAATATATTTATTCTTACTTACTTAAAAGAGCATGTGAAATTTTTAGGAAGAAGTGTTTCGTTTTAAAAACACTTTCAAACAGTATTGTCATAGAATAGATATTTTAGAATCTCTGTACTAAAACTTCCGTGGAAATAAGTTATTTTAGAACATCTAGTTAAAAATCTATTTTCATATTTTCAACAAGCCTTATTCTGTCTGAAAGTTTTGTTTATCTGTTCTCATCAGGAACTTGTAATGTAAGAACATTTTTCGAAAAATTTCCACGATTCGTGTTTCAAGTAGGACATATTTAAAAATTCCGCAACTTGTTCGATCCCTGATCTCACGTGATTTAACATTTGATGTGATTGTTCTAGGTGATAGATAAATCATTATCGTACGATGATCATGGAATTATTTCGGGAGGAATTATTATTTTAAGCAGAGAGATTTATTTAATGTATCATTGAAAAATTTTCATGTAATTTAATATTTGATGTGATTTATGTGGATGTTGGATAAATGGTGTTGCACGATAATCATTTAGGGAGAAATTACAATTTCAAAGGAAGATAAATCAATTTCTTGTAAACACAATTATAGTTTATACGGTTCCTCTTTTTTACGTAATTCAATTTGGTGCTGACGCTTTTTAAAAATTCTCATTTAATTTCATCGGTGTAGATTCGAAATTTCATTCACTGTCTTTCCCTCGGATCTGCACTCTAATTACTTTCTATGTTTTCCCAGCATTGAATTTATTTGAAATTTAATTACCGACTGTTGCTTGTTTTTCCCCATATTTCATTCTCTTCATTCGAAATAAAGTGGCCGGTTTTTACTCGCGAATTAGTGAAATATTTTCTTTGCCAGAGATAACTTCACGTATATATTTTTATATAATTTTTTTCTTCTTTGTACCGCCTTTCATAGAAACGTGTCCGCACAAAAACAGAATCGTAATTGACTACCGACGGATTCGTCTCCTTTCAACATCAAACGAATTAAACGAGTCGAACTAAGATAAATAATAATTACTTGCAAAAAGAACAATGATCTGCCAATATTACGAAAGTTAATATTTAACTCTATCTTTCATTTCTTAAGAAAAGAAATCGTAATGAAAATCGTTGTAAATTTTCTCTCTTCTTTAGTAATAAATTCCAATTTTATGAAGGAAATGTTATCTATTTGTAAGAGGAAACTCACGCGTATTATCATATTACCAATATTACAAAGGAATAATTTTTAAATCTACCAGTGCTTCCATTTCTTTCCTACAAGAGAGACTGTAATAAAAATCCGAATTTAAAGATTCTTTAAATCTTTTTTAATCCTATTTATTTAGAAGCAGTCTTTAGCAACAAGTCCCAAGCTTTTACAAGTCTTTGCGAGAAAACGCTTACGCGTCACTGCAACATCATTAAAAAATTAATTTTTTAACACGTCGACTGCGCTTTCACGTTCTTTTAACAAGATATCTAACTTCCATTACAATAAAATACGAAATTTCATCTTATAATATCGTCTACTGTTAAAATTCACTGTTAATGATATTCATCTCACTTTAATTACTCTGAAATATTTATAGGCACCATCGTAGCAGTCAACATGTTAAATATAACTTTCATTTCTTCTCAAAAAAAAAAAAAGAAAGAAAAATAAAGACAAAAAAGAAAAAGATGTAAAATACGAGTCTACATTTCTCTCTCTCTCTCTCTCTCTCTCTCTCTCTTTCTTTAGGCGACACTAGAGAGTCCTAAATAAGCGCGATAGGATCGTACGATATTGCGCGCGAGATTCGATATATATCGAATAAGACGCGGGAGAGACTAGCGACGACCACGTCGTTGGGAACGACTCGCGACGGAAACGACGAGTCGTACTCGTCGACGTCCGATAATTCCCAACTTCTCCAATTATCGTTTCTCACGCCGGCTGCGAATGGAGGTCGAAGAGAATAAACGTAGGGAATGGCGTGTCCCGTTGGCTGACGTTGCTCGAAATGCGCCGCCGCTCAGAAAATAAGTATTCGCGCCGATCGTCGGGAAACTGCGCGCAGCGAATTTTGCACGCGAGACCTCGACGCCTTCGTTCGCAAGGTTAATTGTTTTTTCAGACATTCGGCGATATGCGTTTGCAGTACGTTGACGCGGAGAAAAATTTGAATAATGAATACAGTGAATAATTTAGAAAAATTTGGTAATTCTAAACGAATAATTCTAGAATAATTCATTTCTTCGTGGTCGAAGTTTCTTCTGACACTGGGTAGAAAATAATTCAATTTAAATTAAACTAGACAAGAAGTGACTCGACGATTAAAAAGCGATCCATATTTAACATTTCTTTCATTCGGTTCAAGATCCAATTTAGTTCGATACAGGATAAAAAAAGACCTCGAAGGAATATTTAATTTAATTTAAATAGATTGAATTAAACAATTTAATTTAGGTTAAATTAGACAGGAAGTGGTTCGATGCTAGATAAAAAAAGATTCAATTCGAGGTTGGGGTTAATTTTTTCGATTCAAGATCTAGTTCGATATACAATAGATTTCAAGAATTTCGTTGTATGATAGTGCTTAAACAGAAGGAATTTAGAAAGAAGGAAAACGTTCAAAATAAAATATTTCTTTGTTTAAATTCTGCTTCGTGCCTCAACAAAGATAACTTTAAAAGATAATTTTAAAAAACTTAAGATATATCATTCAACATTTTAAGATTCAACTCTTTCTCTTGGTTGATAAACTGTCAAAGTAATAAAATTTATATCGGCAAATTTTTCTTCCCGCTGTGAAAGGACACACGAAACGCAGCTCGAAGGAACATCAGACATTCAAAATTGGCTCACCGATCAGCTTGCCGAACTGCGCCGGTGGCTTCCATTCCGGATAGTGTCGTGGAAATCGCGCCCTCGACCAGTAAGTCCTTAAAGTGACTTTGTACAGCGCCAGTTTATCCTGTTTGTCCTCTTTCTCCTGTCGATCCTGCGCGAACGATCCACATTGCGCGACCACGAACAGTAGCCGCGTTCCTAGCAGTAGTAACAGCAGCGTCGAGCACTGCAGCCACGTCCCGTGAAGCATCTGAAAGAATATCAGAAAGAAAGATAAATTTGTCACAACAACGCGCGCTAATACCTCCGGATGGAGACAAACAGATTACACACGAGATCAGCCTTGTTTCACGCAATTCATTCCTCGAAATTCACGTTCTATAATTTTCACGATAGAGTTAAACTAAATTATAATAAAATTATTATTGCTACAATTGTTATAATTATAATGCCCTTTTGAATTGTTATTATCATTATTATTATTATATTATTATTGTCGTAATCCTTTTATAAATTATAGCCATCATTATTACAATAGTGTTATAAATTATTATATGAAACGAGTATTGTAAGTTATTACGCAAACAAAATTATAGTAAAATTATTATTGTTACATAACAGTACTATTATATAACACGGTCACATTATAAATTGCTACATAAAAATAATATTATTCTAAATTATTATTTAATTCTATCATAAAAGTTGTTGTTATAATTATATTGCTGTTATAATTATAAATTATAGTAAAGTGCACGTAAAACATTTTATTCGCACAAAAGATACTGTGGTGGTGATGGATGGTGATGATGTTCTCCAGTATCAAGAGCTTAAAAAAATATTTTTTTTTCTTTTTTACCCTCAACAGCATGAACATTTTTTTGTTTTACGTAGGAGGACCCATTGTGTAAAAAACGAGACCGTTATTTACGTAATTTGAATTGTACATTCATACATTTGCCAAAACTCTCAACCTCTTGGCTACTATTGACTTACTTCGCAGATGCCTATAGGCGCTCACTTTACATCAAATCCAATCAAACTAAAGGCGCCCAATAATTGTAGCAAACTTCACTCGAGTCAGACGTAAGTGAATTCCAATTCAACAAGCTTGCAGCTTCCCTCAGTAATATACTTAAATCGTTTAAGTGATTATTTTACAATTGTTTCATTCGTGAAATTCCACTTAATGATCGGTAAAAAGACACAAATGTGTAGTGTTTAAGGAAACAAGTATAACGAATGCAAGAAATGTGATGTAGGATTATGTACTGTTTCGAATTATACCATCATATCTTACTAGACTATTAGATATGTTACGAAATAAAGCTCAAAGTTACTGTTAAATTTTCAGCGTTAACAATTCGATACACAGATTAATAACAGAATAAATAAATAACACTGGTTTAATGTAGCGCAATTCAGCGTTTTGATCATTTCAATGTACTTTCTGAGAAAGTCCAAAAATACCAAAGAGTTAATCTTCTCTCTCTATAGTATAGTAAGCATCATCTGAATCGAACAAGTCTTCAACACTCGAAATTTGCAACACCCTGTCCACGATATTTCAATTGTACATATCTGAAAAGCGAGACGCCGAAATAATCTCAAACTTACTCGAAAGTAAGTAATTTAAAATTTTCCTAATTTTTCACCGGATCGTAGAAAGTTTAGAGATGGCTGTCGATTCTCCGCGCGAGGGTTCGAAAATTTAGAGAGTGGCTACATTCGTCGGAGAAGGAGCATAGAGCTGCAGACAACAAAGTGAAATCACACTTGGTCGTACAGTTCGATGAGCGACGTGAATATCAGACGGGGGGGTTTAAAGCCTGGCGATCTTTCAATCGCAGTGCTCGATCAATGGACGAGGGCTCTGCCGATACCAGTTGCAATTACATGTCCTGCCCGAACGAATTGTCTACAGGTCCCGGGAACTTGTATTATGCGCCCATTTCCCTACCAACGTACATACACGCACACACACGAAGCAAAATCCTACCAGCGAATTCTCGCAGCACAGGGTGTCCCGTTCGACACGAGCAAGTGCCATCCTTTATTATCCAGCGGAACAACACGACCAACACGCGAGTTACAGGCGAGAAATGGGGGATAATGTCGCGTCATTAACCAAACCGCAAATAATCACTACAGACGCTTGTTCCGCCGTTTCTAATTGCTATAACTTGGGGCTGAATCTCTCTCGATGAAATTCGTTGGCGGAAATAATGCTTGGCGAATCAGGAAAGCCGAAAAAGCTGGTGAAAACGTGTCGTTACACGGGTCCATAGAAGCGTGATGTAAAATCTACGGAGGGGAGCAGAGGCTTTTTCGGCGCGCGAATTCGCCGACACGATGAGTGGTTTAATAATGAACACTCGTCTCGTCTCGTCGAATGAATAGGACACATTGTATAGGTGGGATGATTGCAGATACGCGGGCAGGTACGGGGTTAAAACGGCGTTTGGAAGGCAGGCTCGGATGCTATCGCAAAGGCATCGGTATGTAACGACAGCCGCCTCCCCTCCCCGCGGTGTTTACATATGCAGATTCGCGAGTGTACTCAAAATTCAAATCGCATTCGAATCGCTGCCGATCGGGCTCCGCACGCCGCTCGTCCAAATTTCACGGCGTGCGCCGCTACCCGCGTGTGTGATTTTACGCCAGACCGCGGCAATCCTGCCTACTCCCGACATATCCATGCAAATGCCCCGTGAATTTTCCATTAATTACACTTTCTGTTGGAACAATTGTTCGTCCAAGTACTCGAAAACGAGCCGTGCGGACACGT